GGCTGCGGGGTGTCCACGGGTGGGGGATACCCGGCCCCAGAGGAACTGCTGGGATTTTGGAGAGGGGAAGCAGAAGCACCAGACAAAAATAGAGTGAGGGGAAGCGCTGGTGTCCAGCTGTGCCCCGTGCTCAAGGTGGCCCTGCTCGGGGGGACCTTTCCCCATCGGCACCGGCAATGTCCCCGGCCGCAGTCCTCCAGGATGCCGGGGCGTCACCGCGCCAGGGTCACCATCCCAACATCACCGCACCAGCAGGGAGGGATTTCTCCAGGCAGGGGCAGTGGCAGGGGCACCCCCAGCAGCCCTCCCACCGCCAAGCCCTGGACGGGCTCGGGGGCTCGGAAATGGGGCAGAGGGGTGAAACTGGAGGGAAACGAGGATCCGGATCCTGACTGGGAGAAGGCTGAAACCCCATGGTCTTTGGGGAGGCAGGGACAGAGCAGGGAGGTGGTGTCCCACACGCGAGGAGACACAAAGAGCGACTGTCACCTGCAATTTCCCCATTGCGGCCAAGCACGGGGGACGCAGGGATGCCTGGCAGCATCCGGCTGAGCAACAGGAAAACCAGAGATGTGAAATACTTCCAAAGCCGCCCGCAAAGGGTGACACGTCTTTCCGTCCAGGGTGTGAAACCACTCACACAGGGACAGGACCAGGGGGTGGGTGGGAAGAAGGGTGTGAAACCACCTGCAGACCTTCTCAAAGTGCCACCTGCCCCGGGCACCGTGACCGCAGCCTCGCCGCTGGATGGGGTGGCAGGAAGGGCAGCTCCAGCAGCTGTGGGTGAGGGGATGAAGAGGCTGGAGGGATCTAGAGGTGCTGGAAGGACTCTGGAGATGCCCGGGGGGCCCTGAGGTGCCCAAAGAGCTCAGAGGCTTTTGAAGGACCCACACAAACCAGGACAACCCAGGGATTACATGGGGGGATGTGATACTTTGATGGGAGCGCCCTCCAACTCGAGAAGAGGTGGCCGGTCTGTGGGGGCACCCCTTCCTCCATGGGGGACAGGGAAGGGACAGGACTGGGGTGAAGTGGAGCAGACTGGGGGCTGCTGGGGATGTTATACAAGGGGACATATGAGGGATGGTGTCCACCTGCAGCACTGCCCATTACCTGGTACAGTGTGGATACAGTGGTGGACCGATGGAGGGGGGCTGCCCACTGGGTGGGAGGGGACCTGGGGTGCAATGGAGATGCCAGGGGACCCAGAGACACTGTCACCCCTGGCCCACACCACCCTCCCACCCCACGCTCATGCTGCTTTGTGCTACACAGGCAAAATGGAGTCCTTCTCCTTCAGTGGGGATTTGTCCAACTTGCTCTCCATCTACAACTACACCTATGATGACAACACGGCCTTGCCCGACACCGCTATCTCCTCAGCCCCATGCCGGCCCGACAGCTCTGCCCTCAACAAGTACCTGGTGGTGGTGATCTACTGCCTTGTCTTCCTCCTCAGTGTGGTGGGGAATGGGCTGGTGGTGCTGGTGCTGCCCTCCAGCCACACCAACCGCTCCGTCACTGACGTCTACCTGCTCAACCTGGCCGTGGCGGACCTACTCTTCGCCTTCAGCCTGCCGCTCTGGGCCGCCTACCGAGCCCATGAGTGGGTCTTTGGCACCGTGATGTGCAAAGCCATCTCCGTGCTGCAGGAGGCCAACTTCTACAGTGGCATCCTGCTGCTGGCCTGCATCAGCGTGGACCGCTACCTGGCCATTGTCTACGCCACCCGTGCCGCCACCGAGAAGAGGCACTGGGTGAAGTTTGTCTGCTTGGGCATCTGGGTCTTCTCCATCCTGCTCTCCCTGCCCGTGCTGCTGTTCCGTGAGGCTTTCCCCTCGCCCAGCAATGGCACCGTGTGCTACGAGCGCATCGGTGGCGAGGACACGGCCAAGTGGCGGGTGGTGCTGCGGATCCTGCCGCAGACCTTCGGCTTCGCCCTGCCCCTCCTGGTGATGCTCTTCTGCTACGGCGTCACCATCCACACCCTCCTGCAGACCAAGAACGCCCAGAAGCAGCGGGCCATGAAGGTCATCTTTGCCGTGGTGCTGGTCTTCCTCATCTGCTGGCTGCCCTACAACATCACGTTGGTGAGCGACACCCTCATGAGGACACGGGCCATTTCTGAGACCTGCGAGAGGAGGAACCGCATCGATGCGGCCCTCTCTGTCACACAGGTCCTGGGCTTCGCCCACAGCTGCATCAACCCCATCATCTATGCCTTCATTGGGCAGAAGTTTCGCAACAGCTTCCTCAAGATCCTGGCACAGCGCGGGCTCATCAGCAAGGATGCCGTGGCCCGCTATGGCCGCCCCTCCTACACCTCCACCTCCGGCAATACCTCCACCACCCTCTGAGCCCTGCTGGGACCTGACCCTCACGGCTCCCAGCAGGACCCAGCACCCCAGGCACCCCAGCACCCTCACCCAGCCCCCTGGGATGCAGGTGGTGATGCCATGGGGATGGGCAGGGCCACCACTGGATGCTGGACCCCGGCTGGAGGGGGGCTTGGGCAGCAAGGGGGTAGGACCTCATTGCCAGGGGAGCGATGCCAAGTGCCATCCACCTTTTCTGCTCTTTGGGGCAGAGCCTGTGACTTCAGGGACCCCGCGACCCCGCTGTGGGGACAGGGTTCATGGCTGACAGCTGTCCAGAAATAAAGCAGTTGTGGGTTGACCACCCAGGTCTGGCTCTTCTTTGCCACGGGGAGGGAGAAGGCGGGATGGGGCCAGGGCACATCTTCGGGGATGGTGGGTCCTGCGCTCGTCACCTCAGTGCCAAAGTGGTGGTGCCATCCGAGCCCGGCGAGGTGTGGGTTACCCTGCTTCCAGGCCGGGGAAGGGCTGTTGCCCAAGAGGCTGTTGCAGAGGGTTCGGCATCCTGTGCGTCCCCAGAAGGGACCCAAACCCGGGACTTGCTCCCTGCAGCCACGTCACAGCACTTCCCCAGAACGGGCGTCTGTGTGATGTCTGTCCTACGTGGGGACAAAGCCACCCCCTTCCTGACCTGAGTCGCGGTGGAGCAAATCACTGAAAGATCCCTGGGCAGCCCCCTTGCTGACACCGAACCAGCCCCGTGACCTCTGCCCGAAGGGTGCACCCCTGGCCCCCCCGGCGCTGCGGTGCCAGGACACTGTTGTGCAAAGGGCTGGGAACCTGTCCCTTACACAACCGGGACCTTTCCGCCCCGGCTTGGGCAACAGGGGCTAGCACCTGGGGGGGGCAGAGGGGCTGAAGAGGGGGCTGTGACCCTACTGGGGTCCCTCCTGCCATCCTGTGTGCCAGGTATAGGGGTGTCTGCCCCAGCATCTCTCCACGGGGGTCCTGTACTGCTCCTCCATCCCCCTGATCCAGGCTCCTGGGGGTCCTTAACTGTGTGGGCATCAGTGGGTGCCAGCCGTGTGCTGGCTTGTGGGTGGGTACAGGGGTCTCCTGGCACCCATGCAGGGAGCCCTGGAGCTGGGCAGAGTCCAGAGGGCTGCTGGGCAGGGACAGACCATCACCTTTGCGTCTGGGAAACCTCTTGCCAAAGAGGTTTCTCAAAGCATGGCAGGAAGCCGGGGCTGTTGGCCAAGAGCCGTCTCCCCTGCCCACTGCTGCCGCACCGCTGCAGGACGGGGCAGGCGGGGGCTCAGCCCGGGCACCGCCG